AGCCTGAACTCCACACCCCCCCCTGCACCCCAACCACCTTCCCCAGGCTCGGCCCGTAGCTTGCCCCCCCTCTCACACCCCCACACCCTACCTCATCCTGGGGAAAGTGAGTGTGGGTGGGAGAGAGCAAGCGGCGGAGGGAGAGGGATGCAGCGGGTGCGGGGGGGGGCAGGGTGCTGGCTCAGGGATGGAGTTGGGGTGTGGAAGGGGTGTGGGATATAGGCAATGGGAGGGAGTTTGGGTGCCGGAGGGGGCTCAGGTGGCGCTTACCTCGGGTGGCTCCCAGCCGGCAGTGCAGCGGGGCTAAGGCACGTGTAAAGGTGGGTTCTCCCCAGTGGGCAGAGGCGTCTGTACCCAGCAGGTCTCTCTGCAGAATAGATGGAAACACGTCTAGAAGCCTTGGTGACAGGAACAGGAGGGACAGGCAAAGCGGAGTGTAAATAGAGGGGAGAGAGACAGAGTGAGACGGGGAGGAAGGGAGGGAGTTTTGTAGCAGCCGCATGTTAAACTATTGACAGCACAGGACTGGCATCTGGACAGAGAGCAGCCATCGGGGTGGGGAAGAGAAGGGGATTTTCCCCCAGGCAGGAGTGAGTTGATGTGAAAATCTGATATGAAAGCTCTAACGTCTGCTCCTCTCTTCCCATCGCTCCAAGTCCCCAGCATTAACCCCAGCGCTGAGTTCGAGGGAATCAAAGCGACGTGCAGGAATTTCTCTCTGCCGGTATGTTTGAACCCATCATTCATTTGTTGGGGATTTTGCCCTGTGTTTTGTACCACCAATATGGAAATTCTCAGACAAAAACCTTTCCTGTTGGTATTACGGTGACCCCTGTAAACGTCATCCAAGATCAGAGCAATTCTGCGTTTCTTCCTTTCATCACTGGGACTTGATCCTCCTCATCCTTCTAGTAGAGCGGAAGAATTACTTCTCGTGTCTTGCTTACAACGCTCCTGCTAATACAGGGGTTCTCAAACTGGGGGTCGGGACCCCTCAGGAGGTCATGAGGGGATTACATGGGAGGTCGCGAGCTGTCAGTCTCCACCCCAAACCCCGCTTTGCCTCCAGCATTTATAATGGTGTTAAATGTAAAAAAAAAAGTGTTTTTAGTTTATAAGAGGGGTCGCACTCAGAGGCTTCCAGTGTGAAAGGGGTCACCACTAGAAAAGTTGGAGAACTACTGTGCAAATACATCCCAGAATGAGGTTTGGTTTTTTGGCAACAGCATTACACTGTTGACTCATATTGAGCTTGTGATCCATTATGACCCCCAGATCCCTTTCCGCAGTACTCCTTCCTAGCCAGTCATTTCCCAGTTTGTATGTGTGCAATTGATTGTTCCTTCCTAAGTGGAGAACTTTGCATTTGTCCTTATTGAATTTCATCCTATTTACTTCAGACCATTTCTCCAGTTTGTCCAGATCATTTTGAATTTTAATCCGATCCTCTAAAGCACTTGCAGCCCCTCCCAGCTTGGTATCGTCTGCAAACTTTATAAGTGTCCTTTCTATGCCATTATCTAAATCATTGATGACAATATTGAACAGAACCAGACCCAGCACTGATCCCTGTGGGACCCCACTCGATATCCCCTTCCAGCTTGCCTGTGAACCACTGATAACTACTCTCTGGGAATGGTTTTCCAACTAATTAAGCACCTACCTTAGAGTGGCTCCATATAGGTTGTATTTCCCTAGTTGGTTTATGAGGTCACGTGAGACAGTCTCAAAATCCTCACTAACGTCAAGATATACCACGTCTACCACTTCCCCCCCATCCACAAGGCTTGTTACCCTGCCAAAGAAAGCTATCAGGTTGATTTGACAGGATTTGTTTTTGACAAATCCATGCTGACTGTTACTTATCACCTTATTATCTTCTAGGGGTTTGCAAATTGATATCGAACCTTCTAAAACTTCTGTCGCTTTGCTAGTGGCTGGTCCCAGACTTACACGCCCATTGTCTTCCTGCAGGAGAGCATTGAATCTACAGACCATATACTCTGATTTCTTCTGCTGATTTTCATGCTGTTTCTTTCCAATATGCATCTCCATGTCTCTCTGCG